ATAAAACAGAAAAAAGGAGAAGAAGAAAATAAAATGAAAAGAACGTGATAACCTCAAGAGACAAAGCTGTCTCAACAACTTACAACACCAGATCCGTAAGCAACAGCTCCTCCTAACCAAATCACATCATCAGAGAGCTTATGTTCAACCTCCTCTCTCTTGCGCGTCTCTTAAACCTCTTTCATTTATATAATTCCTCCCATGTCCTTGTTGAATGTATCTAACCGTATGTATGTGCCGCCGCATCTTCCATGATTTGTTGTTGTTCCGATTGTTTTTTTCATTCATTTTTCCCTTGTTTGCTCCCAAAATTATTAATATATATATATATATATATTTTTAAAAAATTCAAAACATCTGTCATGAATCATGATCACAATTCACAACATTCCTTATATGTACATTGTCTTTCCTGAAATTTTAAGATTTGATTCTTTGCAAATATTTGACAAAATTTCAAACAAGCATTCAGTTAAATCAAATAATTGTTATTTTATTATGTGAGGCATTATTAAATAAGTACATTTGTATCATTTGCTATACCCAAATCCCATATTTTATATTTTCATAACTCGAGATTAATTATAATTACCTTTGCGTCACTTTTCTTGATTCTTTATTTTGTTATTATTTTTAACAAGAGAAGTTCATGTCTTTGACCAACAAAGTGATGTTAAGATTTATGTTCTGTTTGGATGGAGAAAAAAGCATGAGAAGAATAAAACAAAAGAGAATTTTTTTTTTCTATTTGGATGAGGAAAAAACAGTTAAAAAAATGTGATGAGAAACTTATCACATTTTCTTTTCAACTTTTCTCTCAAAATATAGAGAGATTTTGAGAGTAAAATTTTATTTCACTTTCTACCCTACGCATTAAACTTCCACCTATTTTCATTTTTGCATGACCCCTCATCTTCAACTCAAAGCAGAGCATCGTCTTCAGTGGCCGCTTCTTCTCCTTCTTCTTCTCCGGCGTGTTCTTGTCTATGTGTCTTCTGTGAGATTTCCTACTTTCTGCCATGATTTCATTCTCCTTCAAGGAGTTTAAGTCAGAGCATCGATTTAATATTCTAACAAATCTTTCCATTAGACCAAACCAATAGTAACACTGAAATTAGAAGATAATAAAGCTGCAATACTGAAAATGTTCGAGTAAATTAAGATTAAAATTAGAACTTAAACTTTGGCAGCAATATAGAGTGTGCAGAGAGGATTGGAAAGGAATCATGGGGCAAGAACCATATCCTATGTTGACAATGGCTCCTTCACGTATTAGTGACATTGTTTTTTTATTAATTTTTAGAGTGTGGGAGATTTTATTTATATAAGTACTACAATAATGTATAATATATATTTTTATGTCATCATATTTAATTTTAAAAAAGTGTCCAGTTTTTTCTTGTTAAAAAGTAAAACTAACATATTTTTGCTATAGTAATTAATTTAAAAATATAATAATTTGAAAAAAATATTTTTTTCATAACTTATTTGTTTCCAAATTAATTTCATTATGCTAATTTTAATATAATTTTTGTTTTCAATTTATTTTTATGAAGATGATTTTATGAAACATGATATATTTTAATATAATGGCATTATAATTATTATAATATCTGTTCATTCTTTATTTTCTCTTGTCCATTCAAACATGAGAGGTGATAGCATTTTCTATATGGTTTTCTCTTCTTTTTATCTTCTACCCTTTCATTTTTTCTCTCAACTTTTTTTTTCTCATCTAAATAGAGGGTTAACTTCTGTGCTAGTAAATAATTGCACTTACTTTTTATAGTTTGATACAACTATGGAGTAAGCCAGTGGTTCAGGCCAAACTTGAACCTGGCCAAAAAAAGTTAGGGTCGTGATTAGTTATATAAGCTTTTTAAGAAGGTAAAATACTTTAAGCCCGGCCTGAATTGAGTTTGATCCAAATAAGCTGATTGTTTAAATTTTTAATTTTATATGTATAAAGAGTTGGTAATTTTGACCAAATTTGAGGGGTCAGCCTAAATTTGATCAAAAAATATTAGAGGTAAGCTTGATTATATGAGCTTTTTTAAAAAGATGAGATACTTTAAATTCAATCCAAATAAGCTTGGCTTACTCAAATTATCAACTCTACTATGGAGGATAAGCCTTATGTACACTCAATCAAATCAAACTATACTTTAATAATTGAAATCTGACTTAAATTAATATCAAGTTAAACTCAAACCTATTTATTTAATAGGGATAACAAAATTTATATTCTTTCAAGTTTAACTCAATTATTGATTTGCTATCTCAAATTTAATTTCCATCAATTTGATTTTTTTAAAATTTATTTTAATTATTAATTTACTCATTGTTACTTAAAGAGGAGGTCGGATTGTTGAAATTTATTAATGTAAATAAAAGAATATTGATCGTAATCTGGTAATGAAAAAAAGTGTGATATAGGTGAAAATTACTTGAGAATTTTACAAAACAAAGCTATAAATGTATCGTAAGGATTATATTAATAAAAACTAAACTATTTTGAAAGCTAGTTAATTTACTCTTATTTAGTTATATATATGCAAATTTATTAATATACTTTATACATTAAATTAATTTAAAAGTAAATTTATGTATTGGAACTTAAAAGACTAATATGAATACGTGATAATTTTAAAAAAATGTAAGGAATTAAATTGATAAAAATGAAATTTGTAGAAACTAGATTGACAATTGAGTGTAATGCAAAGGATTAAAAATTTCGTTATTAGTGTATAACAAATTCACTTGTCGAAGCTTGTCAGTAACATATTTGACTTTGTTTTATGTTTTTGTGTATTTTTAACAGACAGAACAAGTAATATACGCTTTCCATTAATAGTTTTTTCTTGAACTTAAGGTGGATAGATGGTTGTATTATTTACAATTTTTAACATGATTCCTTAATTTTTTATATTTTAAAAATGCATCCAATTTTTAATATTTATTAATCTAGAAATATAAATGTTTTTATAGAGAAGCAATAAATTATTTTTTTTCCTTTTTTTGTATATATTTGTTAACCAAAAACCATATTATTTCGTTTTCCATAAGTGTATTGTTCAAAATTCTATGCTTTTAATTTATACCATCGGCTTTTCTTTCTTTAAAAATTACACCAGGTCTAATATCACGTGACTTTTTCTTAGTTCCTCCTCTCGTCAATCACGTGGAGACTTCCAAATAATTTGCGTATTTTACTCTAACCGGCCGCTGCCGTTTTGCGTTCTAGAAACAGCTGTTCAGGTATGGAAACCTTCCCTCTTCTTCTTCTTCTTTTTGATCGATCCTGCTTTATGCCTATAATATTGTATTTACCCCTATAATTTACATCATATTTTGAATTATGTTAATATATATATACATAATCCTCTAACTTTTTACAATATTTTATTTAGTCATTTAATTTTTATAGAATATCTTTCAATTCTTTAATTATGATGTTGTTAATGTAAATTGATGATTTTTGTATTAATTATTATTTTTTTAAAAAATTAAACTTAATATATCAATGTCCAAGAATGTTTTCATTTGAGAGTTCAATTTTGATATTTTTGGTTGATCAAACTAAGAGCGTTATAACTAGAAGATAAAAAACATGTGTTATAAAGTTAAAAAATAAAATAAATCATTGTATAAAATTAAAGTACCAAATATAGACTTAAAAAAAATGAGTTTACGGGTATAGTCTCTCATTGCTTTATAGGGGTGATTTATAGGGATTAATGTTCATTTCGTGAGAGATTAAATTTTTTGACGATTAGATTTGTCATAAGATATTTACGTTTTTTTTCATTTAACTTTATCCAATTTAAAATTTCGATTTCAATTTAAGAAATAAATATTACCAGCCTTATTACTGCAACCGCATACATAGGATTTGGTCCATTTAGAACAAGATTTGATGTAAATGCAACATGGACAAAAAAAAGTCTTGAATTATTATTTTTCCTCATTGAAATTAGGACGCTTCGGACATCTCTCTTCTGCTCAAACCCTCAAACAAAAAAAAGATAACTAGCCAACTTGCCATTGACAATAATAAAACCTAAGTCATTGTTAATGATTACAAAAGTAAACTCCTTGTTAACACAGCTTAAATATGTCAAATATTTCATAAAGCGATGGCTTTGTGGTTCTATTCAGTTAATCTTTCAATTTTTTTTTTTCCTTTTACACTATCATTCACTTTAGCATTGATTCCAGATCTCACGCATCACCTGTCTACGGTAATAATGATTAGTGACCACACTTTAGTTTTTCTTAATTAATGAGCAATATTGATGTTTAACTTGCTCAATATGTCAATTTCAGATAAACATATCCGGAGAGAGAGGCTTTTTCTTACTTATGAGGGGAAAATACAACAATATATCCCTATATTTTGATTGTATTTTGTTTTAATTTCTTTAATTTTATTTCATTATTTTTAGTTCCTTTAGTTTGTTCTGCCTATAACGTTAGTTTTTATAATTTTAAAAATAAATTGTTCTGTTTGATTTTAATGGAATTAATTTCACTTAAATTCTATTAAACCTTTTGTTGGTGTGAAAATAAATTGACTATGATTAAAAAAAAATAAGACGGCAAAAAAAGTTTCCTTATGTATTTGGATGAAACCGAATGTGGGGGGAACATGCAGGCTTGAGCACACGTCAACCAAGGGATTAAGTTTACATCATTAACGTTAACTCCATTGACAATAACTCAGGATTATTTTATACAATTCTAAAACTCCTAACATTAGGCGGATCGAACTAAAAGTGCCGAACAACTAAATAAAATTATAAGATGTAAAAACCACCAAAAGTTATGATGCATTTTCACTGCTTAATTATTTTTCAAAAGTCAACAAGGGGATGACTCAGCTTCTTCCTTACCTGGCATCCTCTCGCTCTGGCCGAGTCCCACGTATAATGAAAACAATAAAATACAAGTAAACAGTGAGGAGGCGCGGAAACAGAACAAATTTTATTTCGGCTACATGAAAGAGAACAAATTTGAAGAAACGGCGCACCAAAAAAGTTTTCATTTTTATGCGTCTCTTTTACTGTATGTAATGTGAAGAAGAACCATGTCGCTTCTCATCACCTACTCCTGATAATTCCATTGCTTCTTCCTCTTATAAGCCTCACCATTGCTTATTCTTCATCCTAGAATTTCAGGTGCCCCGTGTTTTCCCTTCTCCACTTCCCTTCAGCTTCAAAACAAGGTCCTTCTTCCTATTTCCGGTTCAATTCAAGGACCCAATTGTTGTTTTTGAGGAAACCCAGAAACGTTTATTGCATTGGAAGGAAGAATAAGACAATGGGGTGGAACTGGGCATGCGCTAATGGCTTCACTTCCTAGAGGACTTTTGGGGCTTAAGAGATCTAGTTAGCTGCGCTGCTTGAGAGAGTTTTTGAAGGATAAGGGTCGTGCATTTCAGGTATTGATTTGAAATTTTTCAGAAAAGGTTCTCTCTGTAATGATCGTTTCGTTCATCTCTTCCCATTCGATGGGAAATACCAGGGAGATGAAACAAAGTCCAATTAAGCAAACAGATTTTCTCCGACTCTTTTTTCCTCATTTACAAAGTGAATGAAGTGTCCAGTCTTGCATTTCTGGTTTTCGAATGTTGCCGAGAGCTAGTTTTCTTGCAGTAGTGCGGTTCTGGGCATTTGCGATTTAAGTCTTTCGGAACAATTGAAATCAAATTGCTGAAATTTTTCTTCCACGCCCTGGTTCATACGTGCTTGATTGGTCTGGAATTTGAAAAACAGGGTCAAGCGTCTATTACTGTTTAATTCTTGTTTGGGGAAAAGTAATTGACAATTTAGCTTCTTGCTAGAATTTTGGATTGATGTTTGTAATTTTCGTTCATATAAATGCTTTAGAGGGTTAGGAATTCAGCACAATATTGTGCAGCAGAAACCATAATCTTGTCTTAAGACAAATGCGATATTTTGCCCCTTGATTTGCTGCACGCATTAAAGCGCCTTCTTATATTTTGATTTGACATTGACTTCTGCAGATATTTGGCATCGGCAAAATGGCATCTGGTCTGAATTCAGGGTTATCCAAGAAAACTTCTGTTTTTGGTTTGGAAGTGTGGGAATTGATGGCAATGGCTGTTGGGCTGTTTATTGTAATCATCCTGGCGGTTTTATCAATATGTCTTACATTGCGAAAAAGATCCAGAAAAATCAACAGCAGCATGCGTCCCTTTAGCCATATCCCATCGGTTTCAGAAGAGATCAAAGAGATTAGAGTTGATCAAGTTTCAGCAAATAATAATTTGCAGAATGGCTCTTTAATGAGTTTGAATGACATATTTAGTGACAAGGAGTCTGCAAAGGCTTTAATCCAAACGAATAATGGGGATAATCTCAATAGTAGCCAATCAGGCTCATTTAATCATTTAGAGAAAGATGGTGTTGGCTCTCAATCAGGCGATGACAGCATCTCTAAGACTACTTCTTACAGCCCCTTGTCTGGTTTGCCCGAATTCTCTCAACTAGGCTGGGGTCACTGGTTCACATTAAGGGACCTAGAACTTGCAACAAACCGGTTTTCAAAGGACCATGTTATTGGGGAAGGTGGTTATGGAGTTGTTTATCGAGGTCAACTAGTCAATGGGAATCCTGTGGCTGTCAAGAAGATCCTCAATAATGTGTAAGTTATAGATAGGAGCTTGTTTAGTTGTTGCACTCTTCATATTCATTTTAAAGTTTGAACTGGGTTTATGTTATATCTAGTTTCAGGTTCCATTATGATGATGTCTGCATATCTGGTAAGTTTGTCTAATAGGCGTTATGTAAATCTTGCAGAGGACAGGCTGAAAAGGAATTCAGGGTGGAAGTTGAGGCTATTGGTCATGTGCGACATAAGAACTTGGTTCGACTTCTTGGATACTGCATTGAAGGCACTCACAGGTACAGTGTGTATATATTGAAAACAAGATGGATAGATCATAACTCATGGCATTTTTTTTATCTGCAATTCTGTATTCCTGCATTTATGTGTATTTGGCTGCTTTTACCTCTGATATCATCTCCATTTTGAGTTCTTTTTTATTAACATAATCCTATAGGCTTATGATGAGGCTAATTCCTCAATTTGTGTTATTAGAAAAATTTGTTGCTTGCTTTGGTGGTTCTGTATTTAAGCTTCATTTACTTTCTAATCTCCCCGTACCAGCTTGTATTATTTCAGTCCATGTCATTCATGATGAATGCCCTATGCATTTCAGGTTGTTGGTTTATGAGTATGTTAACAATGGCAATTTAGAGCAATGGCTACATGGAGCAATGCAGAAGCATGGGTATCTTACTTGGGAAGCTCGGATGAAAATTCTCCTTGGGACGGCTAAAGGGTTTGTTCATTTGTTCCGTATCTAGTCTAATTCGCTACATTTCTTGGTCAACTTTATCTAATATGAAATTACATGTTGCAGACTAGCTTACTTGCATGAGGCAATTGAACCAAAGGTTGTTCATCGTGATATTAAGTCAAGCAACATTTTGATTGATGATGAGTTCAATGCCAAAATATCTGACTTTGGGCTAGCTAAGTTGCTGGGTTCTGGGAAAAGTCATATCACAACTCGAGTAATGGGTACTTTTGGGTAAGCTTTTCTCTGTATAATGCAAAGCAATTAAACGTCTGCTAGTTTAAGACTTGTTTTTTTTTTCCCTTTCCTTTTTTGGTTTCAATGCTATATTTTCCTTGCAATTGTTAAGCTTCGCGCAGTGAATTAAACTTATTTTTGTTCCCTTTTTCTCCCTATGGTGCAAATCAAACATTTAAATAACTTAAATTTTATGGTAATTTTCATCTTTATGGCAGTTGTGATCAAATCCAAATCTAAAATATGACCATGCAAGATGCAACTATTGAGAATTACTTCCTCTAGTCCCATTTATAAGACACCTTATAAAAGTAATTTTTAGTTCAAAATATAGGACACCTTGTAATAATTAAGCTACTTTTTTCAATTTTATCCCTTCTTAATTATCGTGAGGATATTTAATGTAATTGTATTATTATTCAAAGCCAAGGGTAAAAATAAAAGTACATCTTATTTTTTTATGATACCAAAGAAAAAAATAGTTTTCTTAAGATGCGTGAAATAATTAAAAATGTCCTGTAATAAGGACTGGAGGGAGTACATATTTCTTTATGGTAGTCTCTGGTTTGCTAACTGCGTCCTTCTGCTTCTCCTCTTTATGTTTGCATCGCATTTTCAGATATGTGGCCCCAGAATATGCCAATTCCGGCTTACTAAATGAGAAGAGCGATGTTTATAGCTTTGGCGTGCTGCTACTTGAAGCCATTACTGGAAGAGACCCTGTGGATTACAGCCGACCAGCAGAAGAGGTATGTCGTTGGCATTTCCTGTGCTTGTAACTTTGAGTGAAATGAATCACATGCAGGGGACATGACTTCACATCAGAGTTGTTCTCAGTTAAATTATTTTCTACACATTTCGACTAATGACACTATCCTTAACATTATTAAATGATTCTTGCAGGTGAATTTGGTTGACTGGCTCAAGATGATGGTAGGGAACAGGCGTTCAGAAGAGGTGGTGGATCCAAAACTTGAGACTCGCCCATCAACAAGTGCCCTTAAGCGAGTTCTTTTGACTTCACTGAGGTGCGTCGATCCAGATGCTGGAAAAAGGCCAAGGATGAGTCAAGTTGTCCGCATGCTTGAATCTGAAGAATATCCTATACCTCGAGAGGTTCGACTCCTGATTCTTGTATTTTTTGTGCTGACAGTCGGCGTTTTTGACTACCATATCTGGTCTATTGCAATAACATTAGAAAAATTACATTTGTGGTATAAAACTATAATTGAAGTAAATTTGGATTAGCTCATCTGGTTGAAGGGATCCATGTTAGGATCTTTTGCATTACCCTTTTGACTTCCCTATCTGGTATTTCCATCTATGAAAGAGTGATTCCTTTCTCCTTCTTTTTTTGCTATGCCTATTGTGCTTTAGTAATTATTACTCAACAATTTCTGTATCTTTTCATTTCTCTTTTAAATCAGGGATGCAAATGTTACATTCTCAAAATCACCTTTTCTTTTTAGTCTGTTTCCTATTAAACTTCCAGTCCCACTTCCTGCCTCCTAAGATACTTTATCCACTTGAAAATTCATTGCTGACGAGTAGTATCGGTGACATTTCAGGATAGAAGACGGCGAAAGAGTCAGGCGGGAATGGTGGAGACTCCAGATACAGAGAAGAGTGAGAACCCAGAGAATAGGTCAAATGAGAGAAGGAGCCAGAGGAAATAGTTCATTGTCCAGATCAAGGAACTGAAGATACAGGTCGCAGGAAAATTTTTGCTTTCTTCTTGAGTTTTCTTTAAACTTGTGAGTCCTGGAAACATCCAAACCAAGAGGTGTGGAGCAAGGATGGTGGCGTGGTTTATATACATATACATATATATAGATATAGATACCTCTTTGTTGGGACAGCATAGCTTTGTTAGATGTTAGAATGTTGGCTTGGGTATTGTGTTTGAATATGGTATTCAACAGCTCCCTTGCGCTGGTGGTGTGTACAGTTCATTGCTATATTTTCTTTTCATTATCTTCTTTCTTTATAATTAGGATATAATTCATGAATCAATCGGTCTTGCTTTGCAAGTTAACCACAGAGCTTGTGTAGCGAAAAACGAGAACAAACAGACGTGTTTTGTTTTTTTATCCCCCTGGGGGTAAAATATGTGCTTGCTTCGTGTACGTTGATGAAGGGAAGCACGCTCTCTCTCTCTCTTTTGGTACACATTGCACGCCTGCACAGCACATTGATGCATCATGCATGTACGCATGCTTGCACACGCTTTTGGGTGATGATTATTGTCTAATTTATGGTTATCTAGAGTACAATTTTACTTCTAATTATTTTTTAAGGAGCACCTTCAAAAGTAATTAAAACATAATATATTTATTTTTGATATTAAATATCTTAACATTAATCGTTAAAAATATTAATTGAGATTTAAGTTTTATAGAAAATATCACTTGTTATGTCAAAATGTGTTTTTGCTACGTTTTAATTACTTTAAAAGTAAAATTGTTACAACACAAAATTTTATGATATTGAATACTAATAATTTAGGAGCAAAAATGTACATTGATTTTGATTCGTTTGTTATGATAAGTGACATTTTTGATAAAACTTAAGTCACAATCAGCATTTTTAATGATCAAGTTGGGGTATCTAACGTTAAGAAAAAATGTTACATTTTAATCATTTTAGGAGCAAAATTATTACGACAACTAGTTTAGGACATTAGGTACTTTTTCAAAAATAGTTCGAGGATAAAAATATATTTTAATGCTTTAATTTATTTTGAAATCTCGATTGCAACTTTTTTTTTTTTAAAAGCAAACCACTTGATATCTGATTACATTTTATATCACAGTACGAGGCTTTAACATTTTACCTAAAAGAGATTGTACAACTTTATATAAAATAAATAAAATTCATACTGCCAAAATTTTTTTAAAAAATATTTCAAAAACAAAGAATACAAAATAATAAAAAAAAAACGTAAACAAATGATATTAACTTTCTTTTCAATACAACATTGAATGATTTTGGAGTGATAAAAAGGACCGAGCTTTTGGTCAAATTAAAGAAAAGTCAAACTTTCATTCATTCTTTTGCTTTTAACCTTTGAAAAAAAAAAATAAAGGGTAAGGCAACATTAGCAATTAGCATCGCAACAACATCATCAACATTTTACCTGTGGATGCAATGCAATCCATAGAACTAAAATAAGGGCCAAGTTGGACTATTAAGATAAAAAAAGAATATGGTGTAAGATCTCGAACTCTCGATATAAGTTTTTTCATTTACTTTTGAATGAGTGGGTTTGATGGAACATTTGCTCAAGGGTTAATAATGTGAATATGGATTGGGCGATGGTATTTACTATCATCTATTGGTGGCTTTGGAATCATAGGAACGAGATAAGTTTTGAAGACACGATACCAAGATGTGTTATAGTGCTTTTTGAGAGTATAAGGGTGGCTCGGGTGAAGTTGGATAAAAAAAAGATGTAACAGCCCTCCGCTCACCCCGCCTCTCCGAGGTCTTTTGCGGCGCTGGACACTCTCCTCCCAGACCCCACAACAGGACGACCCCACCCCTTTCGGTGAGCATCACTTGACTCAATGGTACCAAGTTCAGCCTCAACTTTGTTATGTAGGAGAGGTTGGAGGATCGAACCTGGGGAGGCTCTCCGCAAGGGGAATAATCCTGCACACTACTGCGGGAAAGCCTTTGTCTCCTGATGCTCACCGAAAGGGATGGGGTCGTCCTGTTGTGGGGCCTGGGGGGAGAGTGTTTAGCGCCGCAAAAGACCTCGGGAAGGTGGGGTGAGCGGAGGGCTGTTACAAAAGAGCTCTTCAATTTATAGTGTTAATACTTGCATAGGTTAGGAGCCCCCATTGGATGATCAATTCAAGGTGAATATTGATATTGCATACGTATATGTGTCCAAAGTAATGGCTTGCAGTGGCCTCATTCGTAATTCTCAAGAGCTTTTGTAGCAAGCTTCATACGTCGATAGGAGACGGCGATCATCTTTCTACTAAATTGTGGTCGTATGCTTATGGTTTAAGATTGGCCTTAGATATGGGTTGTCGTAAGATTATTCTAGAGTCAAACTCAATTGAAGCTTTGGAGTTGATTGGTCCTAGTGAGAATCCTGAGCACATGGACTTCGAGGTCATTATGAAAGTCAAGCATCTTATGGGTTGAAATTGGAGGATGGAAACCAAGCATATTGTTCATAACTTATAAAGCTACAAATCTCTTGGCTAAGTGGGGATTATTAGTTGTTCCCGGTTTTCATGCTGTCTTTTAGGCTTCTCAAGAACTTCATATGATTATGAAGCATGACTATGTCAAGAGTAATGCATTAGCTGGGACATAGGGTCAGGTTTTGGTTGTCTTCTGCACTATAAAAAAAAAATAAGGGCCTAGTTTTCTCATTTAAATAGTTGATTTTTTTTAGGACCTAAATTAGCTAACTCTTTTCTTTTTCCTTTTTTCAGTATGAATGTGGGAAAATGCCCTCCTTTATGTATGAGTTAGATAGACGTCCAGAGTTTTATAAACACATTTTAAATAACCAATAATGGTGATGTCTGGCAAAAGTGATGGAAAGAAAAATAAAAAGAAGATATTAGAAGAATATTGAAGATTTAAAGATTAAATATTTTACTTTCATATTAATTACAAATATTTTTTAATTTAAATTATTATTATCTTTTAGCATTTAGGACTATTTTTTCATTTATTATTATCTTTTTATTTAATGTTAGGATTTTTAGGTATTTATTTCTAAGGTTAGATTGAGGCTTATAACACCTCAACTCATTTAATTTGTTTGCATATTTGATTAAATCAGAATTATCATTATCTTATCCTCATTTAAGTTTCTCTTTTCTTTTTATATTTTCTCTACTGATCCCTTACTCTCTTTTCCATATTCTTTCTCCCTTCTCCTTCCCCGTTTTATATCAATTGATATCAGAGTTTAAGTTTTCACTTCACTTTTATTACTAAACCTACTCTAAAATACCTTCCTAATACTAAAAATCATTATACAAAAATATTTTGGAGATAAGTTTATAATTTAAAGCTCCTTAAATTACATAGTAAGATTTTTATATCCTAAACTTTAATCTCTAGGTCTTTTGGATGTTACAGAAGTATTTATTTCGATTCCTTTGCTAGTTGTTTCATTTCCTAGTTTTTTGCTCTATTATTATTAATTATGTTTATTTTCCTTCATTTTAAGCCATTCTACTGTATTTCCTTCTTTTTGATTTTCCTTCATTTTAAGCCATTCTACCGTATTTCCTTCTTTTTGCTATTATTTTATTTTGTTCCATTTATTTTCTTATTTAATTATTTTTCATATTTTTCTTGCCTTCATTCACTCATTTGATTCTTCCTTTGATTTAACCCAAAAGAAGAGCAAAAAGTAGAAAAAAAATAAAAAAAAGAAATGAAAGTAAAACAAATTTAAAAAAAATAAAAAAAGGGTTAAAAAAGAGAGAGTACAAAAAAGTCACTTTTCATAAAATTTTAAGTTTTATTTCCTTTACTATTCAGCTATTTCAATTTATATTGGTTATTATTTATTTTAATTTGTCACTTTATTATTTAGCATTATTCATATTTATAAACTTAGGACACAACCACCTCACACATTGTTGGGCCCTAAACTTAGGCCAAATTTTACCTTAGGTTAGTTGGAGTTTTTATTAGTTTTCCTAAGGGGTTTCCAAGCCCCAGAGGTCGCTATAAAGACTTTATTCAATTTATCATCTATTTAGTAAGTGTGATTCTTGAGGAGTTTTTGAGTTTCTAGAGGGTTAAATTTGTTAAATAGGATTTTCATCTTTTAGTAGAGGCAATTTATAGACCTTTTATCTAATGAGACATTAAACCCATCTTAAAACCTACACATTAGTATAACACTGATTGACTTTGCATGACTATTTGAGATATTCTTAATAAATAGGACGTGTTTGACCAATAACTTACAACCTTAAAATTCACCATAACTGAAAACAATAAAAAAAAATCCCTAATAACTTTCAAAATCTTAAAAGGGTTATTAAGAGTATGTAGACCATTCGATTAGAGAGTTAACTCTTAGGAATAATGCTAAAATTGATCACCTTAGAGCCTTGGCTGGAGAAACCCTTAATACAATTCACCTTTTAGGCCACCGCAACATAGGTAAAGATAAAGAGGACTCACAACCAAACCCTAGAAAGGAATTGCTACCAAGCCTTAATGGTAGTAAGATATCTAACCAACTTATCCTCATACTTGATAAACAGAGAGTACCTTATATAAGTAAACACCACTTCTTTGTGCATGCTAGTATGAGTCACTATAAGGCATCCCCACGTAGACGTAATACCTACCAATTCAAAAATATAGATGATCTTTAAAATGGAGAAGTCATGGGAGACCATTTTTGGAATGACAAGTAAACCTCTAGGTATGATCGAGATATCCCTAGACATGGTTATGTAGAGGATATCATTAAGAAAGTCAAAGTAGATGTTTTTTGTAATATCCACCTTGATATTATCAAATCATACCTCACTTAGCACACAAGAGTAATTAGGAGTCCTTAAACTCCTAAATTACCATAATTTTATAAGTATTAAAATATATAAAATAATTCTTTCAAAATAATTGGGATCCCAAAAAACCTTTTAAAAATATCTTAAACCTTCAAAACATATGTATTTATGTACAGCGAAAGTGTTTAGGAATGCATAAATACCATACTATATAAAACAGGGGCAAAATAGTTATTTTTACCTAAAGGGGACCATATGCAGTGGTATATGTGCCACATGCATGGCATGTGGTACAAAAAATAAATCCATACCTCTCAGCATGTTCACCATGCAGCTCGATAAATTTTGTTGTCATAATAGTTTGTATTAGATGAACTTTTAACACATGTCATTTTCACATACAATGTTCAATTACGATGATTCAAGTGCTCACATAAAGTTTACTTAATAATCTAACTGATGACATAA